GAGAACAAACACTTTTTTCTAATTCATGTTCTTTATCAACTGGAATTGACAGACATGTATACTCCTTAGATGTTGAAACAAACATGTAAGACTTTGATTGATGATACTGACTGATAAGGGCCTATTGATACCAGCTTTTGAACTGAGTTACAATGGAAACACTGTGATTCTAAGCCAACTTTGATTAAGTTTACATGTGTTATTATTTATCTATCTATCTATCCATTTATTTATTTTTGCATTTCTGAACCACTTATCACTTATCTCCCTCAAAGAGGGATTGGGCAGTGTACAATAAAACATGAAAATATATAAAATTAAAATGTTAGAATTAAAATTTTAAAAGGAAGCAGGAATAGTAAAACTCTGTGAAGAATTATGAAAAATTGTTTAAAAATATGAAGGGAAGGTTCTCATGGCACCAAATGGTCCCACAATTTCATGTTCCTTTGGGCTTTCCATTCAAGACCCCTAAACTATGTTTTAACTCTTTTTCAGAAAGCCAGGAGAGTGGTGGCCTGCCTCACCTCCAGGGACAGAATATTGCATGGGGCAGGGACAATGGCAGAGAAGGTTGTCCCTCTAGACCAGCCAGATTTCTTTAACTGTTGGGGTTTGCAACCTACCATCCCTGCCTGACAGGGTGGGACAGGCCAATGTTGACACTATGCAACGGGAGGAGGGGATTTCTTGCACACGCATGCCTCAGCAACTAATTAAGCTTTACGTGCTACTTTTTCTACAAAATTAAATATCTCAGTCAATAATGCAGGCTGAGAATCCTAGGACCTTCCTTCCTTCCTTCCTTCCTTCCTTCCTTCCTTCCTTCCTTCCTTCCCTCCCTCCCTCCCTCCCTCCCTCCCTCTCATTCTGTCATTATCTTCCTTCCTCCTCCTTCAAACTCCTGCCAGCTTCCCAATTTACTTTGTTTATAGGAAGGAAGTCATTGGGGAAGCCAGTGGGAAGTTGCAAGTCCAGCAGGCAGGTAAATGGCTGCTGCTGGGTAGGGAGAGAGTGAGGGGGTTTGTGGGGTTCAGGTGAAAAATAGTAGATGAGGTGTCATAACACTTGGGAAGGGTACCTGGAAATGCATGAGAAGTGCTATGCAGTTTGGGTAGGGGGCGCAGGATGGGGCGCAGGATGGGGCACAGGTCAAGAAATGTATGGGGGTTGCAGAGGTGCCATGCCATTCAGGGATGACCTGTAGGGAGTGGCATGGTTTGTGTCTGTGAGTGCTTAAAAGTACACAAGAGGTGCTTTATATGGACAGCGCATAGGGGTAGCAGCATGGATCAGGAAGGTATCCTAGTGTGGTGACCACACATGTGGTATATTCTAGCAATAGCAATAGCACTTAAGATTTATATACCGCTTAGCTGAGCCTAAGAGGTAACACATCGGTGATGGAAGATACATGGAAGAGAAGGATGTGTGGGTTGCACATGAGGTGCTGCACAGGTCAGAGAAGGTGGCAATGGATCAACTATAACAGATCAAGGATTCCAAGGATATGTTTATCCTGTCTATAACAAGTAACTTGCAAAATTGGTTTTTCTAGCCATGTACATGTATACATCCGCACTAGACAGTGTTGTTTCTCTGGGTCATATAATATATGTGGGTATATGCATAATTTTGTATTTATTTTGTCATGTTTATGTACTGTATATTTGAGATGGTGACCCTTTGAGAGCTGTAAATCAATAGGAAGAAAGGAAATCCACACAAAATATATGTATGATACTTTATTATGAAGAAAAAGTATGCTAATTAATAGCATATTGCATGATTTTAATGTCAAGAAGCACTATATCAATAACAGAATCCCTGAATTCATTTTCTGGACATGGTTTCTGGCGCCATCTAACCCAACTAACTATAATGGAACTTGGAGACCCTGATTCTATACTCCTGCACTCCACCCCAAAAAATAAGGAAGGAGAAGCTTAAATAAAGATTGCCCCAATGGTGCACAGAAAAGTTTGGGCACCTAAATACCAAGTTTTAATAAAATAAAATAAATTATCATATTTTAAAAGTAAATTGATCCAATTAGCTTCATTATAAAGCTAATTGGATCATTTTATTATAAAGCTAATTTGAAGATCCATTATGAATATAAACCACACACACTTCATAAATCATACTTTTTCCATTTGTAGCTAGAATCCTCTGTCCTCAAAGCTTTGCAATATTTTTGCACAATGTTGTCATGCATATATACAGTTCATCCAGAAGAGCCAGGGATTGACAGAGCAGCTGTCAGTATGTCATTTAGTTTGTGCCACTGGGATGTTAGCTAATATGCCACAGCATATGTCACTGCAACCTTATCCAAACATGGGCAGTTCGACACAATGATACATAGTATGTTTGGAACAGCTATTGCTAGGCACTTTACGATCCAAAACCAAGAATACATCCTTCAGCTGACATAAACTGATTTAATGCACCTTATTTTTAGAAAGGATATTTAATAAAGTACTTGAAAGGTCTGAAAGGTTATGTAAATTTTGTTCAAGCCAGGAACTGTAGATTTAGATCACCTTTTTAATGAATAGCTCCACATCTTCAGACAAATGATGACAAAGGAATGTAGCTATAATTCATTGATACAGGTAAGCCAAGATTTTTCTGTGAAATCTTGAATGATCCACTCCCCAGTAAGACAGTAGACAATGCCAATATAGTAGACTTACTATATTGAGTAGCATTACTCAATGAAATACAGTATGCCTATATGCACAAAATATATGTTCTACCAAAAGACAATAAGAAGGATTTTTTTAAAAGACAGGATAAGACAATTAAAATTTAGACTGTTAAGGCTTCAACTATTTAATAGGGAAATACATTTAATGACAACAAATGACAACAAATAGAACAACCAGTCTTAGAATTGGCAATGAAAAGTGGTGGATAGTTTCTGCCTTTTAGGCTCAATCATGAACTGTAAAGGAACAAGCAGCCAAGAAATAGTACACCATAGTTTAGCACTTGGTAGAGCAGCCAATAAAGATAAGATAATTCTTTATGGAAAAGATAATTCTTTATGTCTAATATTGCATTTGTCTATTATTGCATATTTTCCTTATTTGACTGGCTACTTCACATTAATCATATATCATCTTAATTTATGTTATTATTTATTATAATAATAAATAATTATAATTAAGTTAAGATATTGTTAACTTACTGCACCTGTGTATGGTTTGCTAATTGCAGAGTGGCAGATAGGACAGCACTCCAGAGGGTTAACATCATTGCCCAGAGGATCATTGGTTACCCTCTCCCTTCCTTTTGAACTATTACCATCTGGCAGACAGTACAGGACAATAAAAACAAGGACAAATAGGCTGAAAATCAGCTTCTATCCCAGAGCAGTAACTATATTGAATTCTACTGTATAATGCAATATTAATGCAGTATCAAGGGTTTTCAATTCAATTGTACAGAATGTGAAGGATGTGTATTTTTGTTTTATTTTTTATAGTTTTCTTATGTATGATGTACACTGAAGATGGCATTTAATTTCGTTGTACGAGGTGCAATTACAATAAAGTAAACTTAAACTTATGTCCCTGTTTCTTTTTTTTTATTATTTTACTACATGCACATCTTAAACATTATTTTCCTAAGACATTCAATTTCTTTGCTTTTACTCATGTACCTAATTCTCATTTCCATATAAGAATGTGGGCATAAGAATGTTCTTATATATAGCCACTTTCTATTCTTTCAAACAATATTTATTCCTTGCAGCAGATCTCATACTGTCTTGTACCCATTAATATGCAATAATAGACAAATGCAATATTAGACATAAAGAATGGTCATGATGTGTGTCTATTCTATGCAATGCCCTACAATGATGGTATTAGTATTGAATTAAAATCCCAAATAATAATTTAAAAATCACCCTCAAATTATGCTATATGACAACAAGAAAGATAAAAATAAAGATTCAGCAAAAAATATTCATATTAATTTGCTTGAGAGCAGTGTCTTCACTTTCATTCTACATCCAAATTGGAGGAAAAATATGTCAAATATCTTGTGGGAGGATTCAGCAAGATCTCACTTTAAAGGCTAATATGCAATCTGGAGACTCACAATACTGCTTCAAATTACCTTCAAGAAGATACAGTACACCACAATATTGCTATATTTTCTCACGGTTTTAAATAAATGATCAGAAAAAACTCAAATCCTGCACTGAAACCTGCAAAGGCCAAAAGAAACCCAAAAAAATCCAACATACAGACACAAGTACTTACTAATCGCTCCTGTAAAGGTTGGCTGGGTAAGGTCCTTTGGCACCTTTCTGTAGATATCAAACCTAAAAAAACATATGAAAAAAAATCCACAATTATAAAACAGATGGAACATTTCATGATTCAGCATTCACAATACTGCAAACATTTCTATTAATAGTTCCAACTTCATAATTATTCATTTTTCACCAGAGTGCTAAAACATTTTTTTGTTCTCTTGTATAAGCGAACAACTTTATTTTTTAAAAAATTGTGTCTATGGCTGGTCAGGTCTGATGAGAAGGTTAGGAGAAAGCGAGAATATAGAGATGCTCTTTTTTCCCTATGCTTCTCCACACTCATTCAATAAGCCCAAAAGCAGACCCTTTAACTGTGCTCATTAGTGAGTTAGTTCACTACTGTACAAGGTGCAAGAAAAGCCTCCAACAGCTCTCTACCAGGCCCTTATTCATGTGGCCCCATTTTAGCTGACCTACAGTATTTCCATTAGGAGTTCTGTCAAGCAGACCAGGCTGGACAAATTTTTTGTTGGTTCATTTCCTTGTCTATCTAGAGCAGGGGTGTCAAACTCAAGGCCCGTGGGCCAGATCCAGCCCACGGGGTGCTTAAATCTGGCCCGTGAAGCTGGCCTGGAAATATCAAAGGACCGGCCCATGCCCCATTTTTAGCCTTCCCAGCCTCCAGCAGCATTCTGCCGGTTGAAAACAGGACACCCGTTTTCAGTCAGCAGAGTGCTGCAGGAGGACTGGATTGGACTGGATTACAATTATGTGGCCTCAAGTAAGTGCCTGATCTAGATAGAAAACAAGCAACATCCTATGTTAATACTACAGTTTAATGCCAGATTTTACATACTGTAGGTCCATTTAATCTACAATCAACGATCTATAATTGACAGACATTTCTATTTACTATCCTGGAAATTTACCTCTGCTGTTATATCTTGTATTATCATGTTATTTATGCTATTGTATTTTTATTATTAGTTGAATAATAAAAATACAATAGTATAAATAGCTTTTTTGCCTGGAAAATCAATTTACTACAATATTAAACCATGGGGTATAAATTTAGAAATAAAAAGTTTAGTGGAGTATGAACAATAAGTAATAAATGTTTGCCAGTAATATCTGATAGAAGAGATAGGAAAATGGTTATAGTAAAGAACTGTGGAAAGAAAGAAGGGGAAAATACATCTTGAGTCTGTGTCAAACGCCTGCCATGGCCACGCCCACCCCAGCCACATACCCCCACCACCCAAGCCTTCTGAAGTCAAACACAACCCTGATGCGGCCCTCAATGAAATCAAGTTTGACACCCCTGATCTAGAGGCTACTGAATAATTTCCACTGATGTGATAATATCACCAAAATTTCAGATGTATGATTATTGACCATTTGGGAAGATAGGGGAGGAGGACTTAACGATAAAAAAGGAGCAATTTACTTCCAGAAAGGCCCACTTGCTTCCATTTCAAAACTTTTTTTTAATGATCACTTCTTCAAATGGGTTGTTTTGCTGCTGAATACTAAGGATGAGATCTCAGTCAATTTGCAAGTTACAAGTTAAACGCCCCATAAGGCAATTAACCCATTTATCTTAACTTGACTACATGTGTTCTGTACAATTCTATAAATAGTGTACAACTCAGACAATTCTTTCATCACTGACAACTCCTTTGCTTAAAAAAATGACAAACTAAAAATGTTAAAAGTAAGATTTATACTTCATCACTCCAAAATATTATGTTGCCTAAATTTAGCCATCAAACCCAAGCCAGCAGTCCTGCATGAGAAGACATGCATGACAAGAAATAATTATGCCCAGCTATCTATGCAAGGCATATATACAAGTGAGAGACAACTTGAATTACAATATGTAGGACATAATCTTGATCTATACAAAAAGATTCTGAAGATTATGCATCCTGCCTCGAGAATGTTGACATAAAGCTGGAAAAAAAAGATCTCGTGCTTTTCAATGCTTATTAATTTCCCCAGAGAAAATATAACTTTCTGCATTTCTAACATGACACACTTCTTTGCCAGGAGATGGGCGGGACATTTGGGGAAATACTTATAGAAATAGATACATACAACCTGGAGTCACGACATGACAAATGCACATGAACAAAAGCCTTTAACATTTGATATTGTCAAAGCTATATACTGAATTTTGTACAGCCTGATTCATCCTTCCTCTCATTGAAAATAATATTCTTCCACAAAATGGCCCATTTATGGACCTGCAGATTCCCTGGGAACATCTGGAAAGCACTGTTTACATTCTTTCCACACAGACCACAGTAACAGCAATATATGATAAAGAGCCTCATAGCAGCTTATGACATCATGGCCTCATAAGCAGAGGAAATAGCTGAACTTCTTGCTCACAGCCCATTAAAACCTCAACACTGGCGTCGTCTCACTAAAATGACAATAATGCCTTAGTAAACCTGGTGAGGAAGCCAAGAAGGAAAGAGGCACTTTGGAGTGTAACTAAATAATTGGAAACAGGAAATAGCTCTAGGCTGAAAGCAGTAAAAATAACACCATACGGACACTATAAAAGGAAGCATGTTTTTTGAGCAAGAGACAATCTATTGCAAAGTTGTTAAAAATAGTGCCAATATTTCTGGATTAAGAAGTGATGATTTAAAAAGAAAAATGATGTCTTCTTTGGCACACATCTCTTCTTCTCGGTACTTTTCACTTTAATAATCTCAGATTTTTATCTGCAGAATGTCACCAGGAAAAACATACTAGATATTTCGGGTTGGTCAAAATTATTTACTTGAATAACATACGCAAGGAAGCACTGCTAGCTAAACTAAATCTTCTATTGTTTTTCACTGGAAATCTGACCAGGCTTTAAAGCAGATATGTCAAACACAAGGCCCGCAGGCCAGATCTGGCCTGTGTTGTGGTTAAATCTGGCCCCACCCTGGAAACAGCGAAGGACCGGCCTGCGATGCATCTGCCCAGTCCAGGCTGACTGGGTGCTGTTCTACAACCTGGTGGCGCTCATCCTTGCCAGAACGCAGTCAGCCTTAGATCCACAGCGCAGCCCTGAAGCCATAGAGGGGCCACCCCACACAGGAGGCAGCGAGTACGCAGGGCCTAGCGTCCCTGGGGGCTGTCTTGCCTCACAGGCTGACTGCATTCTGAGTGCTTCCCTTTCACCCAGGATGCAGTACTTGCCGCCTCTTGTACAAGTGCCATGAGGCTGAGGTGGCAGGGTGGCCCCTTGCTGGCTCCAGGCGGCCATGCAAGTCAGATCTAAGGCTGACCACATTGCAGCCTAGATAGCTGCCACAAGTTGAAGATCAGTGCCATGCCGCACCAACGCCTCCCTGACCCGCTCGCTGGCCTGGCATCGCAGCCTGCGAGCCTTCCCTTTCACCAGGACTTCCCCTGCTCCCACGTGGGAAACCCACAGCCATTATACTGTAAATTCTATAATTAATACTCTGTAAAATGCTACATGGGCAGTGATCTTGTCAGTCATTCCCCATTTTTAGTTCATCCATCCATTCATCCATCCATCCAGCCATCCAGCCACTTAATAGTATTACAGTCAGAATTCAATTTAAAACATAGACAGTAAAAGTTACAAATAGAAGATAAAACTAGCTAAATTATCAATATAGCAAGCTTTAGAAACAATTTTTAAAAATTGTAATTATTCAAAGAAACTGAATCTTATTGGTTAGCTAACAATACCTGTACATAAAATAAATCTCAGATCTACTATTAAATGCATTTCATCTCCAATCAGCAGCATTCCATACCAAAATGAGGATATTCAGTCCACCATTGGCATTATTGAGGAAAAACTGGATTAATCAATAAATGAAGAGCTTTTAAAATAATTTGCAGAAAAATTGACACAATGAAAGAATAAACTGATTTTGGCTGGATTTAAACAGAATGGGATAACTTTAGTTCATCAAGCTTGCTTATATAGGTAGTCCTCGAGTTACTACAACTGAGCCCAAAATTTATGTTGCTAAGTGAAACATTTATTTAAGTGAGTTTGTCCCATTTTATGATTTTTCTTGCCACATTTTGTTAAGCAAATCACTGCAGTTTTTAAATTAGTAATACGGTTGTTAAGTGAATCTGGCTTGCTCATTGACTTTGCTTGTCAGAAGATCACAAAAGGTGATCACATGACCTAACCCTAACCCTAACCCTCACATAGCCCAAATCAGAGTTACTCTTAGTAATCTGCATTATACTCTACAAGTAAGAGAGAAAGCCTTATAAGCTAATGAGGTGGAAAAACAGGCAAACAATCTCTTTCATCAAAATCAGACAAATATTGATGATTGGAAAAAAAATCCCAAAATCACATACTTCAAATAAGGCACTAATATTCATATTTCCATATAGTAAATTAATATTGGTGTCTGTTTCACATTAGCAGAAAATACATATTTTTAGTAAAAATATTTACTGAGTATTTTTAAATAAAAATAAAAAAGAGCAACACTTAGAAATCTGGGCTAGGGCATACATTGTAGTTTGCTAATCTTTGTGAATTCCTGAAGCTCATATCCCCAAAATATAGTCAACAAATCTGTCAGCATAAGACACAACCAGGTCATCACACTGATGTACAAAATGATAAGGACAGTTGTTAGAACTAAAAGTGCTCATGGGACTGTATGTTCGTTATCTAGACGAGGCAATCTGAACTTAACACACTGCTTAACTCCTTTCTCAGGGTCATTTCTCCCTCCACATATAAGTGAATCATTTTGGTGAGTCGTTGAAAAGCTAATTCCTTTGCCACCTACACTCTACAAGTTCCCAAATAAAATTGAGATGGGGGCATGGAGAAAGGCCCTGAAGACTAATCTACAGTCCAAAATGTATACTTATTTCCTGAACTAAGAGGACATTGTTCGATAGAATATTTTTAATCCTTTTTTTTAACAAAAAGTACTGCTGCATCTCAGATATTTATATATATGTCAAAGCTCCCTTTGCATCAAGAGAGACATTAAACACAAAATATTTTTAAATATGGTTTTAAAGAGGAAGAAAACATTAATTTCTGAATTCAGCTGAAAGAACTGGATCCAGCTGTTTCATTTTACACTAGAAAAATCTTGGTGAATATGGCAATTTTCTTGAAGAAATATTTTATTTAGCATAGATCATCATACAAGCTTTATGTTTAACAAATTTCAGCTAATTAATGTAGAAAACCATATTTTTGGCTTAGCAGTCACAGAAAAATGTGGGTTTAAGAGTCGAGCAGACTTCTCCGGCACTGCAGCTCAGGAAACATATGTGCCTGCCATTTGGGGATGGTTGCCTAGGTGTTCCATTTATATTTCTGCAAATGTAATATTCTGAGTGGGGGCACTCACAACATCAAAGCACAAACAGGAAGTCAGATCAACCAATCAGCATGCAGGGTGTGCACCTCCGCACAACGCAGTTGGGTTTTGGGTGTTCTGTGTGTCGGCCTGTCTGCAGCCAACTGCAACTTACGCTTAACCCCTATGCAGCATAGGTGTGCAGCGAAGCCTACGGGTAGTGGTAGGCAACTCTAAATCAAGCTTCACTCTACTTGTGTATATACTGTGGCTTATTTGCTCTTGTCTGACTCTTCATGACTGTACAACCTTTTATCCAGCAGAAAAAGATAGAATAGCATAAAGCTTGAACTAAGCTCCTGGCTTGTTGTGATCTTGAGTTGTCTGAGAATAAAATAAATCAATACTCCGGTTAAATATATTAATAATACAAAATTATTTATTCCTTATA